ACTTTTTTGGGTGTGCTTGTGGACAAAAAATTGGATTGGAAGGTTCAGGTATCCAATGTCTCGGCGGGGATTGCCAGATATAGTTATGCCCTCAAAATAATTGCGGGAAGTGTTGGAACGGAAGCAGCTATAACTGCATATCATGGTTATGTACAGTCTACATTAAAATACGGGATCGTTTTTTGGGGAAATTCAACTGACATTTCGAGAGTTTTGGTGATACAGAAGCGATGCATCAGAAATATTTTCAAGCTTCAATATCGAGAAAGTTGTAAGAAAACATTTATTAAAAACAACATTTTAACTGTAGTGTGCCTTTACATATTGAATGCAATACTGTTTGTTCATGAAAATAAAGACTTTTTCAATGATAATAAGCTAGAGCATGATTATGATACAAGGAATAAGCTAATAGTAATGGGTGAAAGGTGTAACTTTAGTTATATTCAGAAAAATGTTAAGAACTCTATCTCTATATAACAGTCTTCCTGAAACTGTTCGCTTGCTTCCTATAAACTTATTAAAAACAGCAGTTACAAAGTACTTGACAAGTAAAGCGTTCTATTCAGTGGACGATTTTTACCACGACAATGACAGGATTAATTTGTTATTAATATAAATTTGGAATTTTGTTGAATACCTATATATTTTTTCTGCTTTTTCTGTGTTTTTTGTTTGTTAACTACTAATCATATATCACGTACTTATATGATTATATATTTTTCTTACTTCTCTGTTAATTTAATTATCTTTTATTATTCACAGTAATAGTGAACATTTTTGACACGTTTTACACCCTTCGGGGTATTTGTATGTAACATTTGTTATTATACTTAGAACTAATAAACAATTATCTATCTATCTATCTAACTATCTATGATCAAATAAATTTTGAAACAAGAAATTATTTGTGTTATATGTACTAATTCGTTAAATTTTATGTATTTATTAATAGTATTTTAGAGTTTCTGTTACCTCAATATTTGAGTCATCCAACGCCCTCTTCTTTACTGATGACTTTAAGTGAAGACCGGACAATGGAGCCCAGTGTGTCCATTTTGCTTTGTTGCCACTGTCTAACTTTGAACTTTTTTCAGTCGTCGCCAATATAGTCGTATCTATAAATATAGAAAAATATCTAATATAATAAATAACATATTTCATATACCGGGTACGTCTCAAAAGGGGCTCACCCCTATAACTTTTTATTTTTTAGATAAAAAAAACCAGATTTGTTATGTTAGTATATGACATAAATTAGGATTTATTGACATATTCAATTGTTTTTGGTCACTTCCTGTTTCACCGGAAATTATTACAACTTTTGATTTTTAAATTACACCCTCGGTTTATTTCTATTTTATTCGATAGAAAATGACAATGACTGAATAGAATGACATATCATATGTCAACTACTGACATTTTTGCATATAGTTTATTTGAAATTGTAAAACGCGATATATAACGATAATATGACTCGAAATACCAAGTGTGTTGTACCAAATAATTCGTAAAAAATGCCTTTTCCAACTATGCTAATGAGGCACCCTTGTTCCATTTGAAAAATTGAGATATGATTAAAAATACACGATTTAGCCATTTTTTAACCGGCCAAGACAAGACACGAAGAACATTAGACGATCAAATCTATTTTTCCAAGCCTCCTTGATTAAAAATTAATGTTTTGAACACAGCCATACTCTAGATTGAAATTTAAAATACGATTTTTCTTTAAAGTTGACATGTGATATGTCATTCTATTCAGAGTGTCATTTTCCATCGAATAAAGCAAAAATATACAGAGGGTGCCATTTAAAAATCAAAAGTTGTAATCATTTTCGGTGAAATAGGAAGCGACAGAAAATAATCGAATACGTCAATCAATCCTAATTTATGTCAAATATTAACACACCAAATTTCGTTTTTTATCTGAAAAAATGGGTGAGCGACTTTCGAGACGCACCTGGTATAACTTTATCAGTATTTCAATATTCGATAAAAAACACAAAATGGGATATTTTGAAATCTACACGATTTGATTTCAAAAGATTATACCCATTTATATTTATCGTATTTTCTATGTACCTCTAATTACACATGTATGCAAATATGACCAATCCCAAAACAAACAGGTAGCTCGTAATGATGGTACTTGTCGGTACCTATATCCGCCTCTATATTTTTCGCAGTATGACGCAAAATATTTAACTTAAATAGGTTTGGAATGGGCACAGAAAGTTTGCTATAGATTCATTCGGAAACTATGTAGGTATAATAGAGTACCCATAAGTTAATTATGCCATTACGCGCAACCAATCAGGTTGAGTATTTAAAATTACTTTTATACAGGATGAAAAAAGAAATTAAAAAAGTGTTATTTTCCTCTTTTTTATCATTTGCTTTGCAGTAAAGTTATGGTAAGTTTTAGAAAAAAAAGATATTTTTGAGTAAAATTGTAAAACGTCAAAGTGTTGTTTGATCAACATTTTATTCAATAGTTATTATTCATGCTCAGTAACTTTTTATTATTTGATCAGTAGCGTGCCGTGGGTAAAAGGGCGGTATGGGCGAGCTATGTTGAGGTTGCGATTTCACTGGGGCGCGTCCTGTGGGCGCGTCACTCTGTCAGGAACTAAGGGCGGAGGGCAATCGCCCCAACCCCCCCCCCCCCTTCGTGCCCCTATACGGAACACCACTGCATTTGATTACATTTTCAAAATTCCTCTGTTACTTGAAGAAGCAGTTAATAGAAATTTCTGCCAGGCTTTATATCCTCAAAGGCGCTATTTACGTTTAATCAAGCGATTAAGAGTCTATTACGTTGTACTGTTCGGGTCGCTCTCAGGGGTCGGGTAAAGCGGGTGTGTGTCCAAAAGAAATATATGTTATATTTTAGAAATCTGCCTAAGGCTTAGCCTGATTCTGTAGTGTTAAGCCACACCTAAAAGTCCAAACACACATACTCTTATTAAGGTTTGCAGAGCTTCAGCATTTGCCACAAAATAGCGAGCAATTTGTTACAAAACCATATAAATTATATATCAGTGTAATCACAAAACTTCAATCTATCTACGTATTGTAACGGAATTTTAAATTATGTCTTTATTTTCGAGAAAATTTAGTCTAAACATAAGGAATATTTTGTTGATGTTTGACTATCAACGTCTTAAAAATAAAGAAGTTGTCTAAAAATGTGCTACAATACGGATATAGTATAATCCTTTATCTTTAATTTCCTTCTTCACTTGTGTAAAAATACCTAGCCAGTTTTACATAAAACGTTAAATGCCGAACGCTTATTTTGCTACTTTTTCGGACTAGTGAAATGGACTCACAGAATGGACTCTTAAACATTCTGTTGCGGACCCGTGTGGACTCGACCTAACCTAACTTTATGTCTCGCCCTCAGATGACCTTCACATCGCATTAAAGAATAGACACCGTAATGATTCATTCGGACGTTCGAGAAAAATCGAGTTCCATTAGAATGGCGTAGTACATACGAGAACAATCGAAACATTCTCTATGCACCTAACGATCTATGGACTATTCTAGAAATCTTTAGCTGTAGGTATAAAAGCCGGCGGCCGTGGCCTAGAGAGGGCAGTTATAAATAAGACGAGTACAGTTGGCGCGCTAAAATTCAAAAAATAAATTCTTAGTTATAAATCGTTTGTAAATAGTTCTTTAAGTCTTTTATCGTTATTGTTTTTGTTAATTAGTGTAAATAAATAGTGTTTAAATAAATTGTGACTTTCTATCCACACGGAACCGACGAAAAACGTAACAATTCTACTACCGTAATAGCGCCTCTGAGAATATAAAGCCTCGCAGCAATTTCTATCAACTGCTTCTTCAAGTAACAGAGGAATTGTGAAAAAGTAATCAAATGATAAAAAAGCTACTGAGGCTATAAAAATGTTGATCTAGCAACAATTTGACGTTTAAATTATGACTTTAGTGAGACGTCGTTTCTTGTTCACTGTCATTAAAATCTTAATTATATTTGATATCAATTAAACTTTTAGTTACGTAATCGAGGGCGCGATTTTTAAATTCATTGTTGCCACCCATGGATATATTCGGCGCCGGGCTGACTAACTGGAATTTAAATTTCGCGCTGGGGCTTCAGGTGGTAAAAAATCTGAAGTTGCTACATTTATTTATTTATTTCCTATCATTGTCATTCGTTTTTGCATTTTAGTTTTGTATTACTAGTTTTTGGTTTAAATAAATAATGTTGTGAAACTTTAAGCTTAAAAATGTTTACTAGCAGACCTTGCAGTCGAACATTGTTCTTTTTAGAACCTCTTTTAGTACGAAGTGTACAAGATAGCTTAATAGCCGTAAAAACTCATCGCAACTTTATTAGAATAGTTTGAACGGGAAAGCGGTAGTAATGGCCTTTTGTAAGTGCTGTTAAGAAGGTGAGTTTTGTCGATGTAAAAATTAACTGTTTTATTTATAATTAATTTATTTTTTTTCCTAAAATATTTTGATTAAAAGAAAATATATAAAAGCGGGCAACGATGTGCCGGTCAAGCTTAATCACGTGACAAAAGTTCATTTGGTATGAACTGTATATTAGATATTAATACATCTGGCATTTTGATATTCTGGTATATTAGAATAAATTTTAAATGAAAATATAACAAAAGTAATTTATTTTATTAGGAAGAATATTAATAATAATAAAATACAATCAAATTAACCTTAACACCGAGCTTAATTTACGTTTAAAAGCCAGAAAAGCTATTTTATGCTTTTTCTTATTCAGTTCTTTTTCTGTTCATTGTTTTTGCTTACACAAGTCAAGGTTAGTGGTTACACGGTAGCATTAAACGCAATTGAAATGAAAATTACTATCATTAAATGGAAATTACATTTTCTTAGATGTTTTTCAATAAACTATTTCTATATTAAAACTTATTCGTTGGATTTTATTATTATAAAAAAAAACTGTGTTATAGTCTCACTTGCACACCTTCATGTATCAAGGGTTCTGGATTTTGACGATGTGTAGATATGGAAAATAATGGAAAAATACTAGAGGGGCATCAGGCATGTTAAAAAGAGACAAAAATGTCAGTGTCCTTGTTACCTATATATGTCTCTTAAAATTGGACAATATACCGGATCCCAACTAAGTGCAAATATTTTTAGGGGTAGGTATAGTCTATGAGTTTTTTTCGCATTTTTTTTTTGAAATTCGAAAATTAATTTTTTGAAACATTTTTTATTTTTAGTTAAAAATCATATCTTCATAATATGGCAACATATATGTAGTAGATTTTACAAGTAAGAAAACCTAGAAAAGATCCAGTGGTTCTCAAAATTTAAGCGAAAAATCTTTTTTTTTTAATTTTGAATTAAGTAAAATATCTCGGTTATTTTGGACTTATTTGAAAAACGGTAACGAGAAAATATGTTTCTTTTATCGAGATGAACCAGCCCTGAAAATATTTGCACTTATTTAAGACTCACCCTATATATCCAATTTATATTGTACGAACACAATGGATGTCTTTGGTGCCAAATAAAGAGATATAATTGATTTATTACAATAACTAAATATATTGCGGCAATGGTACTAACCTTTGAATCCTGGATTGTCAAAAGCATACTCTGCCTTTCCACCGCGCTCTGGATCAGATTCCAAAATTAAGTGGTTCTCTGCAACAAGAAAACAAAAATAATTTAAAAATTTAGATAAAATTCTATTAATTAAAATAAATTATTATATCTGAATGTCATTGACAGCTAATAATAGTAAATTTAGAAAATTTAATCTAACTATATAACTTAATTAAATTTGGAAGTTAGGAAATCCCTACTGTCAGTGTATAAAATAAATTACATATAAAAACAAATATTAAGAATCAATATATTAGAATCAATGTCATATAGAGCTTAAGAGATGTACAGACAAATAATACAAAAATGCATAGTGGCAACAATGTGCAGGGTGTCCCATTTAGGTTGAAATCGTACGGTATCTCCGTTATTCGTGAAGATGTAAGGGTGCGGTTCCACAAACCTGTGCCACTTTTTTTGTCAAACGAAAGATACCGTAAACAAAATTTTCATAGCCCTCTTCGTTTCTGAGCTACAGGGTCTTTTTAATTTTGCAATTTGGGACACCCCCTGTATCTGTTATTGTTAAAGGTATCGAGAAGGTCAAAACTGTTTATTGTAGAACTTTCTACGTAGAATACAGTAGCGTAGTCTGTTATTCTATACGAAAAAGAATATTTTTAAAGATATGAACTAAACTTATGCTTTCTTAAATGGAACACCCTGTATATTTATTATAAATTATATGATCTGGCCTGCCATAAGCTTCTGAAAAATATATATCACTCTATATTTGTTTTCACTATTTAATGCAATATTTAAAAAAAAATTAAAAGATCAAATTTATTAGTAGGCCATGATTGATAATAAAGAAAACTAAAGAAATTATTAAAAGTATACTATTATCTGTCTCTTGTTTTATTTTTAGAACCATTTATTAGTGGCTTTTTTGACCATTAGGGAAACTTAACTCTCTACCGCTATTTCTAAATCTTGGAAACTATCGTATCGGGACTTTTAAATATTCCTCTAGCTAATTCCTCCTCACGACTTAAAAATATTTTTTTTTGGTAGAGAAACAAACTACGCCACTGTATTCTGCATAAAAAGTTCTACAAGAATCAGTTTTTACCTTTTCAATATCATCCATAATAACGGAGATACGGTGGCTGACCCAAATTGCAAAATTTTCGAAAAGACCCTGTAGCTCAGAAACGAAGAGGGCTATGAAAATTTTGTTTACAGCATCTTCCGTTTGACAAAAAAGTGGGGCAGGTTTGTGCAAACCGCATGCTTCTATCTTCACTAATAACGGAGATATCGTATGATTTCAACCAAAATGGGACACCCTGTACAATATTTCCAGTAACAAAAAATAAAAAGATCATTTATTGGAAAGAATATATTCTCCAAATAAAGATTTTTTTTTTAATTAGTGAAATTGAAAAAGAATTAAAAAACTATCAAAATTTGAGTCCCTTTTTGTCCAAACATTTTGCAAAATATTGCAAGTGATAACTCAACGATGATGTAAAATTAAATCACACATGACACATAGTGTTACGAATACTAATTCCCACATACCATATGCATTTTCTATGTACCTCAACCTTAATTTGTTTAACCATACATACACATATTACGTACAACATAGAAAACGTATTTATTTTCAATCGAATATTGCGTACATAACAATGGCGGTGCGCTTGGGCAATGAGCCTAATTGAATTAAAGAATTTGGGTTACTAATTGACTATTCTTGTAGAAGCAGACTAATTATTTAATCAATTGCGGTAGAATTAACCGAAAAATAGGTAAAGTAAGCGTACTTTCCAAATAGACATATGATTAAAACTGTTTATAATCGAGAAATGTTTGAAAGTTGACATCTAAATAAACTGTAATGATGATTTTGTTTAAAAAATTATTAGTTAATACCCAAAAATTGTTATATTGTTAATACCGAGGTTAATACCCAAAAATACAAGAACCATCCTGAAATCAAAACTACAGGGTGTCCCAGAAATAAGTGCAAGTATTTTAAGGGGTGGTAGATCTCGATAAAAGAAACATATTTTCTCTTTATCCTTTTTCAAATAAGTCCAAAATAACGGAGTTATTTTAGTTTGAAAATTTCCCAAAAAAAAACAGATTTTTTGCTAAAATTTTGAGAGCCACTGGATCTTTTCTGGATTTCCTTTCTTGTAAATTTAATCTAATACCTATGTTGCCATATTATCAGTTTTTTAACTAAAAACTAAAAAAAATTTCAAAAATATTTTCAAAAAATTTCGAATTTTCAAAAAATTTTTTTCGCGAACAAAACTTCATGGGCGTGTTTTTGGGGTTGAACAAAATATACTACCAGTTCAAATACTTGCACTTATTTCTGGGACACCCTGTATATTAGATATTTACTTTAGATGGTCTGTACTTACTTTGCTATAAATATGGTAATCTTAAATCATACAGGGTGTTCAAAATTCTACGCCAAACTTTCTAAAATATAAAATAATTTTTCTTCGCTTTTTTAAATGGAACACCGTGTAGATTGTTTTTTTATTAGATGCAGAATTAAAAAATTAACATTTTTTGTATTTAGAGTATTTCAAAAATGTTTAACAGTTTCGCAGATACACGCTGTATTATTTCATATGTAAGCGGTAAAATACGAGAGACACCATTGCATTGGGTGGCTTTGATAAAAATTTACTGTGGAAAATGCCATATGAAATACAAAATCGCAAATATCTGGGAAACAGTTAAAAATTTTGAAATGCTCTAAATACAAAAAATGTTAATTTTTTCATTCTCCATCTATTGAAAAAATAATATACAGGGTGTTCCAGTTAAAAAAACGAAAAAAGAAAAGTTATTTTATATTTTAGAATGTTTGGCGAAGAATTTTGAACATACTGTATGATTTACGATTACCATATTTATAACAAAGTAATTGCAGACCATCTAAAGTAAATATCTAATATAGTTTTGATTTCAGGACGGTTCCTGTATTTTTAATATTTTTTTTAAGAAAGGTTAAAAAATATATATTATTTATTTATATATTAATATCTCTGAAACTATCAAAATATATTTGCTCATATCTCAGGATTATGTAAAGTAATCTGAAAGGTAGCCAGAAATGCAATAATATACAGGGTGTTCCATTTAAAAAAAATCATCCCGATCCACTCACACTTTTTTGAGCCACCCTATAGAAGTTAAAATATTATCCTGAAATACATTAAAAGTTTGCTTTATCCAAAATTCCCAAGTTTTTCATTCTAGAATATGTAGGCAACAAATCCTAACTAGGATATGTAAACAACCAATCTATTGGCATTTCTAGAATAAATTGACGCCGTTTTTTTTCGATAGTACGGTATATAACATTTGTCTCTACGGGATATGAATAAACTTTTACCATACCATCTACATACCTAAGTGGTCTTAAGCAGTTAACTTAAACAGATGTGGTTGTGGTACTATTTATCGGCAAAGAGAACAAGTAAGTAGAGAACAACAATGCAATTTCAAATGCGATATATCCATAAATCTATGGATATATCACATTTCATTGCATAAACATACGATGCCTGTGAACACGGTCGATGGCATTCCTAGGGTTAGGTGTACATGATAGCTGTATGGTGAAATATGGGACAAAATATCAGATTTAAGGTGATGGTATTCAGTGTATTTATATTCAATATTCAGTAAAGTTTTAAATTTAAGTGGGGGAACATTACTTGACGTCATTTGTAAAAGTGAAATCAATACATCCCAACAAGTATAAGAAGAAAGTTCAAAGAGCTATAAATAAAATTGAACGAAAAATAAATTTGTTCAATAGGGATGGTGGTAAAATTTTCGAACATATAGAGCTTAGAAACTAGTTTGTAGAAGTTGATTTATTGATAATAACTACGATTAATATTATGCATATTATTAGATCGCACACTGAGATTTCAAATTCACAATAAAAAAGTTAAAAATAATATCTTTAAATTGCTGACCTGGATATTATTTATTTGAATCTTCAAATTATTTGTATCTTCGAATTGGCTCGATTTTCTTTATTCAATGTTAACTAGCGCTGAATTGGCGCAATAATGTTGCGATATATATAATCAGATTAAATAATTAAAAAAAAACGGACGGAGTCGGACTCGAAATTATTTTAAATAATAATTAATAGTTTATTTGTTGTTAAAGTACTCAAAACAAAAAAAAAAAGTATAAAGTGTGGCATATCATTGTACTCAGGAGACCGAGTTCTTTCAAAACCTACAATAAAAAATGCAGGTCCGTATTTAAAAAAATTAAGTTGGCCTATATATCTCACAAATCATCAGCTAATTTGAAAATCTAAATATATTGTCAGATAGTCCTAATAAAGTGGATATGAGAATGTGCAATTAGTTTTTTGATTTCCTAAAAAGTAACGACAGGAAAAAATAAAATTCATTTTCAAAAGAATCCGTTTTTCCAAAAAAACTCAGCAATTCTTGAAATTTTTAAAACTTTTTTGATGGTATCTTGGTGAACATCCCAAAGCGGGCAACTTTGGCCTAATGTAGCCACGTTCGTATCTATTACGGGTAACGAGATACTAATGCTCGTACCTCGAATTTGTAGCACCCTGTATACCCTCTGTTATGGAAGTGTCTCAAATCCCAAATATTAGAAAAATGGAAGACGTTTGTAACATCTTACAAATTCGCTGATTTTGACAATTTTTAGAAAGACATAATAATATTATCATTACTATATAAAATATGATGAAACGTTAGACAGAGGCATATCAAGATTATAAGCGAGATTATGTCAAGAATTTCAAGTTAACAGTTAATACTATTCAGAAGCGTCAGCTGGAGTTTGGCAAGGTGTGCCGACATTCATACGAGGATATCTACTTATATTAAAGAAAATTATCAAGTTCTTTTTTAGATTTCAAAGACGTGATAATATGAAACTTCTTATACTACGTAATTTTCTCAAAAAATATAATTATACTTTAATATAACTGTAAGTGTATTATAATGTAAAAAGGAATACATTATTGGTATTAAAAAGAACTTGTTAAATTATGTTAATATTA